CCCCAAAACCCCAAAACCCCAAAACCCCAAAACCCCTCTAAGACAAAGAACAATTGAAATTTTCTTAATGAATTTATATCTATTTTGCTAATTCTCTCATTTTTAAGCTCCAAAGTTAGCAGTAGCATCAAATGCTGGATTCTGGTTGGAGTAATTCTTGAATATATTATCAACTTCTTCATCTTCTGGTTTGTCCTTAAATGATTGGACATTGAAGCTGGGCTTGGTTTTCTGGTTGCTAATCTTCTTTGATTGTGGTCTCTCCTGCTCATCTTTCTTGTCCCTTTAAAAGTTAGCACAATTATAATAACTACTTACTTTCCTTGGGATAACGACTCTTTCTGGTTCTCAAAGAAAATCAATGTTGCGAAAAAGTGAAGATATTTAATAACCTCATCCTCCTTGACAATGCCTGAAAGCTTTTCAACAACTTTAGGGATATTCTTCTCGTATAAAATATCATCTCCAAACTCCTTCAGAATGGGATGAGCTTTGGTCAAAATCTCTTCACCGATTTCTTCCTCAAGGTATTCCTTAATCCTATCAAAAGTATTATAAGTCTCTAAGTCATGGTCTATTTTCTCTCCAATGTATTTACTTTCCTCTTGCTTCATGACTTCAGCAATGTCGCCTCCGAAAGTGCAGCTTTTCATCTGTTTCTCTATTTCTGGGTCAACTTCTGGTTCAGCTTCTTTAGGCTTTTCTACAGCAAGGACGGTTTCTTCAAAGGAGAAATCGTCTCTGTCTTCATCTTGGCTTTCTTCAGGTGAGTCCTCTCTTTCTTCTCTTTGTGACCTATAGATGTCTTAAGACAGGGAGGAGCAGGTAACATACTTTTCGAGTTTTGGCTTAGTCCATGATGAGTCATCATCAGTGGACATCTCGTTTAGATTTGAGCCGTCATCGGTTATATTTCCAAGCAAGTTCATCTTCATGTCCATGAGCATTCTTTCGACTTGATTGTATTCTGCATCATATCCTTCAGCCATATTCGGTTCTGAATTGAAATGAGTTTGGGAAAATTAGGATGGGGATGCTTACCGACATAATATGGTGAGTCCCTAACAGGCTCTATTTCTTGGACTTTTGATACTTCTCTTGAAGGTTGAGCTGATTTCGAAGTTTCAACGGAATTCTGAGGTACTATTTCTGCTATCTTTGGAGGAATCACCGACTCTTCTGAGTTCTGAAATGGATTAGAATCTTAAAAGACAGAACTCGAAATATTCTATAAAATCAAAAATTACCTGCTTCACATGGACAACCTCGAACTCTTCTTCCTCAGCATCAATATTAGGAACTTCAGAAGGCTTATTCCATTGCTTGCGCTCTTGAGATCTGTCTTCAACAGCTTTCGGTGTAACTTTTTCCTGTCTTTTCCATTGCTTCTTAACTCTCTTAGGTTTTGGTTGAGGAGCCTCTGCTTTTATCTTCTCAACAGTGGAGATAATTTTAGGAGGCTCTGGCTTTGGAATATCGACCTTTCTTTCTTCGACTTGTGGAGGAGTATAATCTGATACACCAGCCTGATCCCCAACGAAGACGCACTCAAATTGTTTGCTCTTCTTCTTTTTCTTATTTTTCTTCCTATAATAAGTTTATATAAAAGCCTAGAGGCTTTCTCAAAAAGTTTGAAAAGCTTTGAGACAAAATTTGAATAATTTCTCTTGCAATATATGGAAGCAGAAATCTTGAGCGCCATTGAAGCTAGCTTAGAGATATTTTTCTCACTAACAGCTTGAACCACGTGCTAATATCTAATCCCAGAAGTGAAATAAAGCTAATACATAATTCAACCAAAAAAGTTTTCTTATAAAAAGTCCAGAAATAATTATTCTCCAAAATTAGAGAAATTAGAGTGCATTTTACTTGGAATGACCAAAATAATTGCGTAATGTACTTCCAAGTTCCTATTTAATAATTGACTTTGAAAACATAGGCTTGTAAAAACTTGGATAACCCACTGCAGTGATATTTCTAGCCTATCCTAACTAATATCAAGATTATCCTATCTTTAAACCCTGAAGAAATTTGAAGAATGTCGACCAGAATTTTTCAAAGTCTTACTTAAGCTCATTCCGAATTTTTCGTTGGGAATCTAAAATTTCATCCCTAGTCTTCATCGAGTCAACTCTATGAATACCTAGATCTTCAGATGGAGCATCATCAAAAGCTGTGATGTTAGTCTTGGGCTCGAGAACGCTCTGGTTGCTCTTCCATTGAGGTCTTTTCTTCTTTTTCATAGATGAAAGCATTGGCTTTTTCTTTGGTTTCTCATCTTCGTAGAAAGACATTACAATGCCTGTTCCTTTACTCTCTTGCTTGTATTTTTCAAAATCTTCCTGAGCTGGAGGTCTAGAATGGTGTTAAGGAAAGAATTACTTGTAGGAAGGGGGATTATAAGCAGGCTCCTCTTTAGGATGATTATCTTCCTTCATTATAGTCATATCTATGGTGAAAGCATTTATTTACCTGTAATATCCCCGATCAAGTCGTTTAGTTGATCCAAAGCATTGATCTTCTGATTAGTGTTTTTCATATTATATGGAATTGTCTCCTGAGCAACCTCTTGTTGTTGTGGTTTAGGCTTTGGAGTATGGTCAACAGTAGGTGGCACTCTTGATTGAACTGGAGTAGTCTTTGGTGGCTTTTTCAACTCAGGCTTGTAATCAGGCTTTCTGATTTTGTCAAGAGGCTTCTTTGCTGGAAAGAAATCTTCTAATGAAGGACCTTTACTAGAAGGTTTTTCGGCCTTTGGGGGAGGATCATAATAACTACTTGGAACTTGTGATCCAGGATGCTTTGAAACCATGCCAGATGCTGGCCGATCTATATTTATTAAACCTGAATTACCACTTCTCATTGGTTCTCTATTATAAGCCTTCTTTTGATATTGGATATTTTTCTTGTTATTACTCAGGTCTCCAGCTTTATCCTGCCTCTTATGCCCACTAGTACTTGGTCTATTACTACTCTTCGGCTGATCCTCATCATAATACCCAAATATCTGATTAGCTGCCTTTCTCTCCTGCTCAAGATGCCTTTTCTTATTCAATTCAGCCTCTAATCTTGCTTGGTGATACATATTACTCCTCTGTTTCTGCTCTACCTTCTTCCTCTCAGCTGCAACCTTCATATTATACTCTTTAACCCTCATAATTTCCTTCTGTCGTTCAGCTTCTTCCTTCTGCTTCTTAAGATAATCCCTCTTCTGCTTCTCTTCGTAATCTTTTCTCCATTGGGCTAACCTTTGTTTCTCAAGTTGCTTCTGGGCTTCCTTCTCTTTGCGGTCACGTTCTTGAGCAAGCCTTCTTTGTTCTTCACGCTCTCTCTCTTTTTGTTCTCGCCGACGCTTCTCTTCAGCTGAGATCTGGGGAGGCGTGTATTTTGGCCTGGGCTTTGGAGCGTCGTAATTCGGTTTGTTGTAACCCACCTGGTAGCCACCTTTATTCTTGTTATTGTAGTGGTAGTTGTTGGCCGGGGTGCTAACTGAGCTAGCGGGCCTATTGTTGTTGTAACCCGAAGAAATCTGTGGTTTCTCTATTTGTGGAGTGAAGTTCTTGATAGGTGCAGCTATCTTTTTGTCTTCCTTTTTGGGCTCAATTGGCAGCATATTTTTGCCATCACCATTAGCTTCAAGCTTGTTTATCTTCCCATCTTTGGCAAAAATCTGTTGTTTATGGAAAATTGTGTGAGAGAATTCATCTTTTAGTATAGATTTTGATAGAAAAGTCTGAATTCTGTCTTGGATAATGTCCTCCTTAAGAATTTGATACACTGATGGTCTTTTATATGTGCTGATGTTTAACATTTTCTTTACTAAACTTTGTAGACTGGAGCTGAAAATCTTTGGCAAGTTAGTGTAGTTTCCTCTAGTAATACGCATACCCAACATTTGCAGAGATGTGCCATCGAAAGGGGGCTTAAGAGCGCAAAGTTCATAAAGCAACACTCCCATTGCCCATACATCTGACTTGAAGTTGTAAGGTTTGTTTTGGACGATTTCTGGAGATAAATAATAAGGAGTTCCGACCATAGTCTTAACTCATTCATTTGTTCTACTCAGAACCCTTGCGATACCAAGATCTCCAATCTTAACCATGCCACTCTTTGTCAAAAAGATATTCTGAGCTTTAATATCTCTATGAAGAATCTTCCGATCATGAATATGCTTCATTCCAAGGCAGATTTGTGTGAACCAATCCAGGACTTGATCTTCACTAAAATGTCTCCCTCGTTGACCTTTAATTCTACCTCCAAGATCTCCTCCATCTGCATAGTCCATGACGATATGAAGTTTTCCTTTCTTAGTCTTGTAAACTTCCCTGAATTTGACAATATTAGGATGATCGAGTGCTTCAAGGAGCTTGGCTTCTTGAAGCGTCTCCCTTTTCTCCTGTTTAGACATCTTCTCGATACTCATTTCCTTAATTACTCATTTGGAGCCTATTCAAAAATTAGCATGGATTTGAATTTTCTGATCCCTTCAGATTTACAACTTCAGGGAGAGCTTTTAAACACAAAAATTCTGAGATATTTGTAAACAAATCAAAGGCTAGAACCTGAAGGAATACCCCACTACGCTATAGATCTTCTACACAAGGTTTTAATTTAGAATACAACCTCTTTATGCTTTTCACTTACCATCTCCAACGACCTCCACCAAATAAGCTTTTCCGAAAGATCCTTCTCCAATTAGCCTGATGATCTTATACTGTACTGAGCTTTTATTCTTCACGTGGGTCATACCAGGTTCTATAACAGTTCATGATTTCAAACGACAAGAGCTTACCCATGTTTGTTTTAGCAATTTTTATTAAAAGCTAAAAATTTTGTAGGGGTTTTGGGGTTTTGGGGTTTTGGGGTTTTGGGG